TGAGTTTGCTCGACACCCCCGACCTTCTTGACTCATCCCACAGCCCAGCCGACTCAACCACAGTGGACGACGCTAGGTTCTCTTGCGCAGATATTTTAGCTTCGGCAGCAGGAATTCTTGAACGATCTCACGAGATCGAACATATCACCGACCGCATCGACCAACTCCTAAATACCACCACCCCAGGCAGAATGACAGACATTGTAGGACAACCTCCGTTGATGCCCTCAAATGGACACGCGACAGCCCCGACCTTCAACCCAGAACAGCCGAGGACGCTCAAAAGGTTCTTTAGAAATCTCGAGGAGCTATTCGACAAATGCGAAGTAACGACCGAGTCCGCCAAAAAGGCGAAAGTCGTCTACTACCCGCCGATCGACACAGCCGACCTTTGGGAGACTCTACCAGCATATGTGAATCCGCTGGCGACCTACAACGACTTCAAAAAGCAGATCCGAGACCTATACCCAGGGTGCGAGGACGACCAAAAGTTCTCAATTGCCGACCTCGATCAACTCATTGGAGAGCATGCTCGAAACGGAGTAAAGTCCGCTGTCAATTTAGGAAACTTTTATCGCGATTTCATTGTGATCACTACTCACCTTATTGCCAAGCAGCGACTCTTGACTATCCAGCAGAGCGAAGCATACATTAAGGTCTTCCCAGCGTCGGTACTACAGAAAATTGAGAATTGACTTGTGCTGAAACACCCCGACCACTATCCCGATGACCCCTATACCATCAAAGATCTCCACGCGGCAGTGCAATTCGTGCTTCATGGGACAGCCAGTCAAGCGGCGACTACGAAGGCGACGACGAGTTCGAACTCGACGATAAAAACCGAAGACCTCCAATACATTATGGACGTCTGGTCGAAGACAATGCAACCCCTTCTCCATTTTTTGGCTCACACTCCGACCCCGCAGCAGGCATCGAGCACCTCGACGACTGTCGCGCCGTCAACTCAAGCGACCCAGGACGGAGGACCGCAGTACTGCCATTATTGCGGCAATGTAGGTTGTTCAATCGGTTCCTGTCCTCACGTACAGGCAGACATGCAGGCTGGAAAGGTGAAAAAGAACACCAAAGGGAAGGTCGTGCTTTCGACAGGTAGCTTTGTGCCTCAAAGCATTCCGGGCGTCACGATTCGCGATCGAGTATACGAATGGCATCGCCGAAATATCCCGGTAAATCCCGCGCTGCCAACGTCTTTGCTGATGTTTGAGATTAGCAGCGCCCCGACCATGGCTACTTATTCTCTAAATACTACAGACAGGATTGCCGCGCTAGAGAAGGAGTTATTCCAGCTCAGGAAAAGGAATGAAGTTTTCAACGGAATCGAGTTACCTGCGTCGAAGAAACCGATACAAGGAGTTCCGAAGATCCTCGTCCGCGAGCCTGATGAGACCGCTTCAAGGGTAGCTCCTGCAGCGCCGGTCACTCATGCAGCGGCTCCGAGTTCTTCGACCCAGTCAACATCGCCCTCGCCACCGTCTTTGCAGCCAGTCGCCTCGACCGAACATCCGTTCGCAGCAGCCCGTGACACTACTTACACTCCGCCTAACCTTCAAAACTTCGGTGCGGCTCCAAAAGCAAACCCCAACAAGGGGAAGGACCCGTCCTACCGAACGCTCACTCCGGTATACCGACCCGAGATGATCGAGAAAGTATTCGAATGATCGATGAAGAGCCCCTTCGTAACGTTGTCACTGGAGGAACTACTTTCTATCTCGCCCGACTTATGATCGAAATACTGTGATTTGGTGACCCCTCGACGCGTACAGCACAAGCCGCAGGCCTTCCTATCCGCT